GAATTCATTTAGTTTTTGTAAGTATCTTCTATTAAAAAAAAAGCTAACTGTAAGCAGCACCCCACCGTCCTCAGTTCGAGATATACAAGGATTGGATTACATGAAGTCTGTCTGAAGTTTGAGATATACTAAGGCTTGAACTACATGAAGACCATCTGAAATTAGGGAGCTGGAGTTCTTATCAGCCCGACCTAGCCTGCATAATCAACAGTCAGGAATAAGGGAATTGCAGTTCAAGAACATCTGGACCATAGTTTTACTAACCTGACACTTTTACTAATCTGCAATATTTATTCATTCAAATGTTTCAGCTTGGGTTTTTTTCCCATTATTGTATTTACACTAATACAGCATCTTGACAGAAGTTACAAATGCCTGTCTCTATTTTTCTGGAGTGAGAAACCTCAAAGTTCCCGAATTCCAACTACCAGCAGCCGCAGTCACTACAACGAACAGCCATTGGTTCCAGAAGTTGTAGTTCAGCTATACCCAGGAGCTGATTTTTCCATCTCTGCTGTGTTTGATGAATCATGGACCTCACCTCCTCTAGGATTTGACTGGTGAACAGAGACATAGCCCTTGCTTCAGAGTGCATCTAGAAGATCAAAAATAAATCACTTCTGATAAGAATATGGTGCATGACAAGGTACAAAGTAAAGCGAATGTGGATGTCCTGAAGCTTTAATCCACTTCCATCACAGTCAATATTTGCTTGTGGGAATTCTGTCTCTATACTTCATCTGCATTTAACACCTAGCTAAAATGATCTATAATCAGCCAATGATTTTCCTATAAAAACTGGGCCCTGATCCAGTCTGGTGATTACTATAGTTGGGGAACAGACTGCACAGGCAAGCCAGTCCCAGGAGATTAAAGAAGCAGGTGGAGCACCATTGTTAGGCCTCCACATTATTTCCATCTTTCTAATCTCACGTGCTATGGATAGGCGGTTCCTAAAGCTCTCAAGGCAACACAAAGGGAATAGAGCCAGCTGCATCCCAACATCATCCCACCCTCTGCTGCAAATGGGGAGAGGATTAATAAAGCCATCTTCCTGCTCTCTCACACAGACGGGTATGGGTGCCATATTCTCCATTTAAGACTTCTTTCAGGACTCTGGGTTCCTGGCATCACTAAACATTTGACATCTTTCTGTCTGTGCACGAACATGGATTTGAACCTTGTTGTGGCATATCCACTGCCAGAGGTTTGCTTTTTGTTTTAGTGTAACATATAGTTTACCTGCAGAGTAACCTGCCTATCTGGGAATTCATTTAGCTTTGAATTGCTTAAAACAGGCAGGGAAAATCTGATAAAAAGAGTAGGCTATCACCGTTATTAGAATTTTTTATATCTTATTCGAATTTTTCCTCCTCCTCCTCTCCGCTTGCAAAAAATATTATCTGCCTATTTATGCAATCTCAATGTTTATGTAAAAATGAGAGCTTTTCATTTCATGTATTAATCCAATCAGTGAGGACTACATAAACATATCCACCTTCTACCACCACCTCCAGGCACAGAGGAGAATCATTAGCTTTGCATTCTAAGGATATAAATTCGAGGTCTGATTTTAATTTCCCAGGCATGATTAATAGCAGAGATCCCAATTAAAATTAAGTAATGAAGCTGGATATTATTATTTTGTTAAAGCAGTGCAGAAAGTATGACGATGCATTTACATTGGGAATCTAGCAGTCTCATTTACCATGTATTTTCATTCACTGTTTTACCAAAGAGAACACATGCTGGGATATTGCACTTTTTAATGCAAATTTCCTATGAAGAAAATTTGTTCCTGGTTCCAAAATTACTGAAGTGCCCAGGTTATTATTATTACGTTATATATTATAGCTGCCCATTCCCACAGAAGCTTTGAGCAACTTGGTGTCTGTCACCATCCACACCTGTTAAGAAGGCACCCAATTGCTCCCTTGCCAGAAACCCACAATGGGGTGAAGTGTGCAATTCAAGAAGAGTGGGAAGTGGGGCTAGACAGACATAGGGAGGACATAGAATCAGCCAGACCTCACGCCCACACACCCCAGTGTAAACAGTTGCCTCTGTCAGCTCCCAGCTCTCTCTTGACCTTCATTATACAAATGTCAGCAGCAGGAATGCGAACCAGGATCAGAAGCGTATGAAATGGTGGCACGAAGTCAAACATCCCAGCAGGAGGCAACTGGATGCCCTCCCAGGCGTGAACTAGCTGTGCCAGCAAGCAAGTTGTGGCCCTGCAGGAAGATACAGGGCTGGGAGTTAATTGGCGGATTCCATTGGCCTCCCAGCAATCTTTCTAGCCAGATGCGCTCCTTGCGTCCCTAATCTGAGTTAGCTTCATAGTTATAACAGATAATCAGAGTTGAAAGGGACCTCGTAGGTCATCTAGTCCAAGCGGGACACCCTACACCATTTCTGACAGATGGGAGTCCAATCTCTTGAAAGTCTCCAGTGATGATACTCCCACAACTTCTGAGGATGAGCTGTTCCATTGGTTGATTGCTCTCACTGTCATAAAGTTCCTCCTTATTTCTATGTTGAATCTCTCCTGGATCAGCTTCCATTCATTATTCCATGTCTGGCCTTCAGGCGCTTTGGAAAATAGCTTGAACCCTTCCTTTCTGTGGCAGCCCCTCAAATATTGAAAGACCGCTATCATGTCTCCCCTGGTCCTTCTCTTCACTAGACTAACCATGCCCAGTTCTGTTATTTGTTATCTATTAACTGTTATAACTTTTTGCACTAGCAGCAATGAGGGTAGAGCCCACAAATATGTGAATGCATCAGAGATAAGTCTCACACTGGCACTAAGCCAATAGTCGCAGAAATGCAGAAAATGCCATCGAAAACTTAGCTGGCCCAAGTGCTGTTCTGGGAAGGCTATGGGTGACCAAGATGCAGAAAGCCCAAAGCCACCCCTGCCCCACAAACCTGTGTGCATGGAAGACTGCTTAACTCTGTTAGAGCAATGGATCTATATATAACAAGGAGCATATAAAAGGCCCTTGACAACAGAAAAATCTCTATGTATGTCTATGTAGTTTAAAACTCCTACCCTGCCAGAACATCAAAAGAATGGGGCAGGCATGGCAAATAAAAAATTGCTCTATATCCCAGGTGAACAGTGCAAACTTCTGGGATAGACACATGTGTAAAATGCTACTAGAATGTTTTGCCCCAATCAGTTAAAAGATAACGGGATTGCTAGCCAATTCTGATTGACAAGATATTGTATTTTTCACCTTCCCCCTCCCCAATCCTTAAACAGGATATTGAAACAGATCCTTCATGAAACATATCGAGACAGCAGAGTCAAAGTAATTCTCTTTAGTTAAAGACACACAAAATATATTGCAAAAAAAAAAAAAAAAGGAAGACGTTAAACAGCCTGCAGAAATAACAGTTTGCTCCCTCCATTCATTTCCCTGTCAAAAACATCCAATTAATATCTCCTACAGTACAAGACAAGAGATGGCAGACCACATTTAATTTACTACTTACATAAATATAAAAATAAAAACTCTGGAGTGCCAGTTAAATGTTACTCTCACTAATGTACTGCAGTCATAAGGGAGTAGCACGGATTTTAATCTTCATAAGGAAATGCTAATTTCCCGTTCACCCCTTGCTCATAGCGGCAAATAGGGAAATGCGGTACGATCTTGATTAAGATCCAGGAGTGTCAGGAAAGAGATGAGGCAGTAAGTCTCATGGCTTCGCAGCATACAGGTAGTCCTTGACGTATGACCACAATTAAGCCTAAAACTTCCATAGCTAAGCAAAAGAATTAAGTGAATTTTGCTCTATTTTACAACCTTTCTTGCTACAGTTGTTAAGTGAATCACTGCACTTGTTAAATTAGTTACATGGTTGTTAAGTGAATCTAGGTTCCACATTGACTTTGTCAGGAGATCACAAAAAGTGACTCCAGGACACCAGAACCATCATAAATACATGCCAGTTGCCAAGCATCTAAATTTTGATCACAAGACCACAGATATACTGCAACAGTCATGTGAAAAACTGTTATAAGACACTTTTTTTTCAGTGCCCTTTTAATTCCACAAGGAGCCACTAAACGTATGGTTGTAAGTTGAGGACTACCTCTACCACCATTCAATCATCATTCCAGCCTGGGTAGTTATGAGATCTTGCCCTGCAGAAGATTAGAACTGCCTCTTTTGCTTCTTTCTTGAACCCAGTACTGAAACTCAGTAAGGAAAGAGACGCCAAGCTATAGAGACGCTACCTACATTCTGCTATAAGCCATTCTTAATACATATATGGTCACCAGCATGTTTCTTGGCCTTCTTGGAAAAGCCTCACTGGCACTGGGTTAGACAGACCCTGCAGGTTTCCATATCACCTGCCCAAATTGAAGGGTCAAGCCAACCTGTTTGCTATTTTTCCTTGAATGCATTTGACAGAAACACTCCAATACATTTCTGAAGCTAGAGGAAGGTGAAAAATCTTCTGGTCACCTAGAAATGATCAGCACTTGTTTCTACTGTATACCTCGCTCTTTTCTGACTTATCCTGTTAAGGCAGCTGCAGGGGGATTTATTTATTTTTTTTAAAAAGCCACAGCTGATCTTATGCTGGTTTTATAAGCCCAGACGATCAAGTCACCTATGGGAAATCCATTCCACCTGCTAAAAATTAAGACAGTGGGCTTATTGACTTTGAGCTAAATTTAGGAGAACACAGCATGGCCTCAGATATTTTTAAGCTCCCCAGACACATCTGTAGGAAGTCCAGCACCTGTGATATGCAACCTACAGCAGGAGTACTGGTATCAGTTGACCTAATCCCTCAATCCAACTCCTACATGATCACAGGCTAGTTTCTCTGTTGCAAAGGTTGATACTTTAAAGGGACCTCAGCTCTAGCCAGCCAAGGCAAGGAGATATGGAGCCAAGCAAATGCTCAAGGGTCTCCCTTTATCTAAAGATTTGATGAGTTTTAACTCTGTCTGGCCAACAAGCGGCCCAGCAAGCCTCTTAGGGGTGAAGAACATCCTGGCCCAGCAAGTCCCATGCCAGATGATACAGAAACTGTGAATACCAGTGCACGCCTGTTTCCTGAGCACTGCAGTTTCTGGACTCCCCCTTCAGGGACAGTAGTGAGAAGATGCCGTAGACAAAGCGTAACGGGGCGAAGGCATAGTGAGCCCAGTGGTGACTTTCAAGGACTGCGTAGCAGGATGCTAGCACCCCATTGACCAGGATTGTGCCATGGGTGGTCAAGGGGGCATAGACACCAGTGCCCTTTTCCTGCCAAACCCGGACGACTCGGGCAGGATGCAAGGGAAGGTCACCCCCCTGGTATGTCAATACGGAGTCCCCCACACACACTCTGCTGGCAAACACAGGGGAGAAGTCCATTGTGCTGTTGACCCGGTCCCGTGCAACGAAGATGAGATGAGAGGATGTAAGCAGCAGCCGGCGAACAGGTTCTTCCGTCTCAATGGCCACGAAGAGGGTCTGCTTGTGTGGCTCTCGGTGGAGGAAGAGCAAAACCTCGCTAAGCGCCATTTGTCCGTTCTGATCTACGCTGAAGACGTAGTCTCCGTGGCGCAGCTTGGAGAGGCTCCTCTTCTCACCACTCCGCAGCGTCACAGTCGCATCGCCAGGGAAGCAGCCGCCTGCACGAATAGCCATGGAGTTATCTAGGGAATTTAACAGGCAACATAATGAGATGGGCTGCATTTGGGTTGTGGTCTCCTGGGCTCAAGGTTGAGAGCTCCCTGTCTTTGACTGCATTTGGGAGCCTCCTAGACTAGAGCATCTAATTTCCTTGCCAGGTGTTGATGCCAAGGTCGGAGGAGTCTATGGGCAGTGGGAAAGGCACTGGGCCTCAAACCAAACAGTAGGTAGAAGAGAAAGGAAGACTCCAAGTGCCAAGGTCGTTGCTACCCTGGATGTCATGTATCATGTACGAAGGGGAAACAACCTTTTTAAAACTGTATTTTAATCATGGTATTCCCTTGCCAATATTTATCTTTTAATGGGAATAATAATGGTTTCCTTCTGATTTTTGCTCTGACTTTATTCTGATGTTACACCGATTTTAAGTCTGGCTTTGGGATTCTTGGGGATAAAAAGGGGCGGTGAGATACTTAAATAAACAGATTTAACTCTATTTATGGCCTGGATGAAGAATCAACCTAGTTCAACGTACAGTATTTATTTAAAACGTTTATATTGCTGCTCATCTTATATCAAAGGACATAAGACAGAATCATTGCAAATATTAATATGTTGCCTAATTTGGGAAAGTGCCAAGTCTGATGCTGCTGCCCCCACCCCCCTTTCATAAAAATTATTCTCTGGTCCTCTCCTCTGCCTAGGCAGGTAATGGAGCGTAGGAATCCTGCTCTTCAAATGGCTTCATGCAAATCTCACTGGTTCCTCCGTCCCCTTTTTATAGCTGGGGAGCCAAGTTCTCTCTGTACCTGCTTTCACAGAAACATGGATGTGCGCCTTGGATTCGTAGTACACCCAGTCAAAGCCAGCCTCCACAGCTAAGCGGGCCAATATGCCGTACTTCTCCCTGTCACGGTCAGAGGTGGTGATGTCCAGCGCCCGGCCCTCATAGTGCAGAGAGTCAGGCAGGTGGTGTCCGTCTTCATCCCAGCCCTCCGTCACTCGCAGTCTTACGCCCGGCCACATATTCATGACGGCAATGGCCAAGGCATTCACTCGGTCTTTGCAACGCTGCAGGAAGCAAAGAGGTAGACGGCATTAAGATTCAAGCTGCATTGAAACAGAGGCTCAAAGGAGGCTTGGGAGTTGGAGGAGCAGCTCCGAGGCGCCAGCAATTGAAGCAGCTCCAGTCCAGTGCCATTTTCAAGCTCTGAGGTTCAACTTTGTCCCTTGTTCACTTTTCCCCTTTTTAATTCTTAGCGCACCACAAAGCGACTGGAAAGAAAGATCTTGGTCGTGATCATTATCCATGTTACCCACATGGATAATATAGGTAATCCTCGACTTACGACTTCAATTGAGCCCAACATTTCCGTCACTAAATGAGGAAGTTGTTAAATGAGTTTTGGCCCATTTTTATGACCTTTGCTGCAACAGTTATCACTGCAGCTGTTAAGTAAGTAACATGGTTGTTAAGTGAATCTGGCTTCCCCATTGACACTTGTCAGAAGGTCGCAAAAGGTAATCGCATGACCCGGGACATTGCAAACTTTCATAAATATGAGTCAGTTGCCAAGTGTCTAAATTTTGATCATGTGACTATGGGGATGCTGCAACAGTCATGTGAAAAATGGTTATAAGTCACTTTTTTCACTGCTGTTGTGACTTTGATTAGTCACTAAATGAACTGTTGTAAGTCAAGGGCTACCTGTACAAGGAGGATCAACTACTTGTTAAGACATTTCAGGCTGGCAGGACTTCTCTCTCCTCCAACATCTATGAAGCAAAGTGGAGGTGCAAGTGATAGTTTAAACAACCGAATAGTTCTCCTGCATAATGGCCCATGTAATAATAATAAAATGTATAGGCCGTTCAACTCCCAGTGATATATAACCTATACTTCTTTTATTAAATGCAAAACTGTGCTTATGAATTATTCTCCATATCAGGATGAAGCACCAAGGAGTGTTGTCCATACTGAAAGATGTACTTCAAGGCCTCCCTGAAAGTTGTAGCACTGCCCCCATATTAACCTATATCTCCAGTGATCCTTTGAGTGCCTGAATCACTCAACCCCAAATGTTCTTCCAAATCTGTCAATTGTTAGGAAGAATCAGGCTGGTAAAAGTGATGTTGGGAGATTTATACTTTTAGACTTGCAACATTCTGTTCAACTGGCCTAATAAAGTAGAATTAGGTTGTGTTTCCTGTCTCGTTTACCTGGGATTACTGGCATTTTCACAACCAAGCTCAGAGAGGACCAAGGATCTCACAGGACTGACATTTTCTGCTTTCCCTTTGGTGAGATTTCTTTTACCTTCATTTCATCTGCACAGGAAAATTGGACAATCCTAGGGTGACTCTGTGTGACTTTGCTTTCCTTACAGCAATATAGTATCCTATATCTATTTCTTGTTAGCAAAGAATTGGCAAAACAAAAGAAATAGAAATAAAATACTGGTGTAGGATACTTCAACTTAACAGTTAATGCCACAATCCTTTACCTGCTAGGGTACCAGTGGTGGAATTCAAATGTTTTTACTACTGGTTCTGTGGGTGTAGCTTGGTGGGTGTGGTATGGCTTCGTGGGTGTGGCTTCGTGGGCATAGCAGGGGAAGGATACTGTAAAATCTCCATTCCTTCCCCACTCCTGGGGAAAGGTTACTGCAAAATCCCATTCCGTCCCCACCCCACTAACCTGATTTCCAGCTCTGTTCTCCTGTGCAGGGCAACAAAAGAAGACCCAGCCGATCAACTGGACTTGGGAGGCAGAGAATAGATGGGGGCGGGGCCAGTCAGAGGTGGCATTAGCCAGTTCTTCAAACTACTCATAATTTCCACTAGCGGTTCTCCAGAACTGGTCAGAACCTGCTGAATACCATCTCTGGCCTGTACCACAGTGATGACACTTAGATTTGGCCTAAAAATGGTTCCAGATTCAAAGTCTGTCAGAGCAAATTGCTGATATTGTACTGTATGATCATGCTGTAGATCAGAGGTATCAAACTCGCTTCATCATGGCGGCATCACGTGTTGTATTGCGACTTTTTCCCCCTTCACTAAACTGAGTGTGGGCGTGGCCAGTTCATGACGCACCTGGTCCGCAGGCTATGAGTTTGACAGCCCTGCTGTTTGATGGGCAGCAAAATTTTGGAATAAGTCGAGAAGCTCTCAGATTCACACTCTTATTAGCTGCCAGTGGCTGAATTTAATATATGTAACAGAACATTAAACCCCCAATAAAACAAAACATCCTTTAAACATAATTAATCACGTCTTTCTTATGAATTGGAATGGAGCTATCTGCCGAGGTCATTTCCAGTTGGAAACCCAGATAATTAAGAAAAGTATTTAGTAGTCTATAATAGTTTTTTCTTGTATTTAGTTCATATGTTTGTTAAATTAAATGATCAGAAAGATCACATAGTTAATCAGACAAGAAGAAAGCAAATAATTAGCTAAGCATGAAGGCAAGAATAAAATATTAAAAATGCAGCATGTCTGAGAAAGCAAAAAACCAATCCTGCATGAATGTGTGTGTGTGTGTGTGTGTGTTTGTGTGTGTGTGTAAATATTCTGCTTTTGAAGTACTTTTTCAGAAAAAAACCTTGGAATTTTTGAACAGCCTTATGCTGTCTCTCACCCCCATTTTCTGCACAGTCTGTTTATGAAGAACTAGGGGGAAAGGTGACTTTTAAAGTGGGAGGATTGGTGGGCTTGATCTTGGCCATTGACAATTAACCATTAATTCTTTGAAATTAGGCCATCTCTCTCCTGAAGCAGTCAGGTGGAAAAAAACACCAACTCAACCACCCTGAGAAAAATACATTCCAATTCATTACCTGGTTTTTAATTAACCTGAAGTTAGACCAGGGAGATTGGGGTAGACAGATGAAAGATTACTTGACTGAATAACATCCTGTTCAATGTTCTCTCACGATAAATGGGAGTGGGTTTTATCCTGCTCCCAAGAATGCCCCCTGGTGAAATCAGCTTTTCTTCAGGAGCTATTCCTACTGAATCCTGAATCCTGAATCCTAGGCTATTTTCTTGCCTCTACTTTCTTCCATCAATTTTTAGACTTATCTCTTCATTAGTAACTGTCTATCTCATAATCCTTATAAGGAGTCAGTCAAATATTCATGGTTCCATCATCCCTTTTCCCCAAAAGACACCTCCTGTGGCTTGAAAGAGAAGAGTTATGGTTTAAATATACAGGTTGCATCAAAAGTCATCCAGAATTACTTGATAGTGAGGTGGGCACTGTGTTAAATAAATAAACAAACAAACAAACAAACAATAAAGTCCTATAGTCCAACAGATGATCTAAAGGAAATCTGCAAACATCAGATAAAATATTCCATACTTAGGAATATTTATGTGTCAAATAAAGAAGTGTTTAGAAGAAAATGGCAACCAATTCAAATATCTAAGGTACTTTTTTCAATATATTCAATTCTGCGAGACCTGTTTCAATACACTCTGCATACAAACCTCAAATAAATTATGCAGGTTACTAAACTGTTTTAATGGAACAAAATATTCCAAATGCAATTATTTGTTACTTAAGTCTTTCCTTGACATATGGCACTTTTTTTATTACAATTCCTTTTATTTTCCTAAGTACCCAGAGTGCTGAATACTGCATTTATGTACAATGAATATACATATGAAAACATTTACAAAATGTGTCTTCAAATAAATACATGCATTATGCTGCTGAAATTATATACAGATTCCTGTTTCCTATGAAATCTCTCATTTTGCCGCTTCAGGAAACCCAGCTGGGTGATTTTGGCCCAGTCACTCACTCTCTCTCTCTCAGCCCAACCCACCTGACAGGGTTATTGTTGTGGGGAAAATAGGAGGAGGAAGGAGGATTAGGTACCTTTGCTGCCTTGAGTTATTTATGAAGTAATAAAGAAAATAAATACATTGTATATATTTACATTTATTTAATTTTTTAATAAATATTATATTAGTTTACATTTATATATACTACGGTACCTTGGTATTCTACTGAACTTGATAATCAATGTACTTTGATGCAAAAATTTTGTCCCAGTACTCATTGTTTGCTTGGTACTCAACACACAATTAGAAATTGTCAGTGTCAGCTGCCTTGTGACTCACTATATTACTCCTCATAGCAAAAATCTATTTGATACTCATCATTTTTGGTACTCATCATTTTTGGTACTCATCACACCACCAGGAACCAATTAATAAGGACTACCAACATACCACTATATACCTAATACCCCTGCCTCCTATTTTGTCTTTAACATTTACATCATCTTAGGACTTAGAAATTCTGAGAGGAAGAAACAGTTATAGGTAGTCTCTGACTTAGGGGCACAATTGAGCCCAAAATGTTTGTTGCTAAGCAAGACTCACTTAACAGTTTGCCCCATTTTATGACCTTTCTTGCCACCATTGTTAAGTGAATCACTGGAGTTGTAAAATTAATAACATAATTGTTCAGTGAACCTTCCCTATTGACTTTGCTTGTCTGAAAATCACAAAAGATGATCACATGACCCCCGGGACATTGCCACCATCACAAACACACACAAGTTGCCAAGCATTTGAATTCTGATCTTGTGACCATGGAGATGCTGCAACCATCATGAAATGGTCATAAGTCACTTTTTCAGTGCCGTCGTAACTTCAAACAGTAACTAATGAATGGTTATAAGTTGAGGACTACTTCTACTGTCCTCCCAAGCCAGAGATTGCTCTGTGCCTCGTTCCCAGATACTCAAAATAAAAAAGTCTGATTCTGTCACGTAGATCAATCCAGTCATGACATGAAGCTACCTGGCTCTCTAAGACCCAGCTATGAGCAACTGGAACACCTGGCTGAATAAAATGGCCGAAAAGAGGAAAGAGGTGGTGAAAGGGTGGGGGAACAGGAAGTGAGTGGGAGAAAAAGGCATTTCATAAAATTAAAAAAAAAACAGTCTCGTCTATAGTGAAAGGAGCAAGCTAGAAGCCTAAAGAGGAATGCAAGAGGCTTCCCATGGGCTCCTGGGCCTGAACACAATAGCTGTTTTCCAGGCCCAGAATTA